TGATTTTTTTTTTTTTTTTTGAGTCAGAGTCTCATTTTGTTGCCCAGGCTGGAGTGCAGCAGTATGTTCACGGCCACCCCAGCCTTGACCTGCAGGGCTCAGTTGAGCCTTCTGCCTCAACCTTCCAAGTAGCTGGAACTACAAGTGTGCACCACCACATCTGGCTAATTTTCTTTATTTATTGTAGAGGTGAGGGCTTGCCAAGCAGCCCAGGCTGTTCTCGAACCCAGGGGCTCAGGCAATCCTCTCACTTCGGTCTCCCAAAGTGCTGGGATTATAGGCATGAGCCACTGAGCTAGGCCTGGTGCTTTGATTTTTATATATTCAATTTACTTTTTAAAAAGACCAGACCTGAATCCCTTATAATTTTCTACAAGTAAAACCCATGGAGTGCTTTTTTTCCTTAAACACTGAGTAAAAATATTTTTAAAAGCTTTATTTTGAAAAAAGTGATGTCTTCTGAACTACGTTGCCCTGAACTATTTAAGTCGGTGGTTGATTATTTAAATATGCTGCAGTTGTTCGTATCATTTAATTTGTTCATCGACCCCAGCAGTGTCTTTAAGAATCTCACCGCCAGGCTCTGATCTGCCCTGAGGATGCAGAGAGGAACAGGAGAGCATTCCTGTTTCCATCTGCCCTCAGACACAGAAACGGTGATCTAGAGCCATGAAAAGCAAAACTGCTGCCGTGATATTTGTTCCCAGTAACAGAGGGACAGGCTTCCAAGGGTGTCCCCATACCACTTGCGAGCCACACTTCCTCAGGAGGTCCTCAGACACGTTCAGTAACGAGTCATCGAGTAAAACACTACTTCCTTACCGTTCGTTCGTTCATTTGAAAAATATCTCTGAGCACCCACACCCTGCTGGGCCCTGTTCTAAGTGCTTGGGATTCAGCAGCATCTCAGGACTAAGGTCGACGAAATGTGTCACCGTACTTACCGAAACCTTGCCTTCATGGAGTTTGCATTCTGAGAGACAATTAATCGGCTGACAATAAACTGTGAACATAGGAAGTAAGTAAATGATAGAGTGTGGCCCAACATGGACAGAGCTGTGGAGAACTTCAGGAGCAGAGGTCGGAGGAGGGGCGGGTGTCCTTTATAGCCGCGGTCATGGTAAGGTGTGGCTGCGTGTTGATGGCGGCTGGCAGCTCTCCATGGGCTGCTTCCCATCTCCGTCGGCCCCCCCAGAGGGCCCTCCTCCACGCTGGGGGTCGCTTCTCTCCGTGCAAGTCCTGGGCCACACATGGGAGCCCTCAGCCAGGCCCCGTCCAACCACCACGGAAGCCCTGCCCGCCTCCCGGCCCTGCCCTCCCAGCATCCCTGGCTGCTCGGGGGCTGACCCTGCTCTTTGGAAGGCCTCGCCATGTGAGCAGCAAACGTGCTCATGCCCTCTCCATGTGTGTGGCATCAGTCTTGACTTCTGAACCAGATCGGGGTGGTCAGGGCCAGCCTTGCTAACGAACAAAGTGTTTAAAATAAATGAGCGGATTATTTTGCAGGATCTGTAGAGTGTCCCAGCCACGAGGACATGCCTGGCACGTGTTTGGGGGCAGCACAGGATCTCTGTGGTGAGAGTGGGGTGGGTCGGGCGGGGCCGGAAAAGTGAAACCTAGAGGTGCCTGGTGGATGGAGGGTCCTGTGGCCCAACGGCCAGGCAAGTGACTCCGAGTGAAGTGGGGAGTCACTGTCGAGTTCTGAGCAGAGAAGGGACCTGACCTGGTGTTCATTTCAAAGGCATGGCCCTGGCTGCCAGGACAAAACTTGGTCATGGGAGGAACGGCAGTGGCGGAGATAGCTGGGCAGGCTGCCGTCACCGGGAGAAAGGTGGCGGAGGCTCTGGCCGGGAGCAGTGCTGGAGGTGATGAAGAGTCCTTGGGTCCTGGGTAGTTGGGAAGATGGAGCCTAGAATGTGCTGATGTGGCTTGTAGGGCAGTGAGAAGAGAGAGGAGTCAAAAGTGAGTTGCCCTTGGCTGAAACGGGAGACGACAGGGGCCGTTCTCTGGGGAGGAAGGAAGTAACATCTGGGACAGTTGTTTGAAACGTCCCTCAGCTGGGCAGTAGGAGATGCCAGACATTCCAGGGGTCTTTAGAATACAGACCATGGGATGCAAGTGTACCAACAGAAGGAAGGGACCCCTGTGTCAGGTTCTGGATATGCCGACCCTCGACTTGGTGATGTATCAATAAAAATGCAACAATAAAAACAATACAAACAAATGATTCAATATGCCAACTAAAGTACATAAACAACATTTAAAGCCTCAATCTGGGATGAGCCCCCAGGGAGTGTGAGGAGACGGAGGAGAGGAAGGGACTGAGCCCTGTGTGTGTCTGGCAGGGAGACCGGGGGAACCCAGACAGAGAGCCTGAGAAGCCGCCAGCAAGGCAGAAGGAAGCCAGGGGATTCTGGAGTCCCGAGGGCCCTGGAGAAGGGTGTCAGGGAGAAAGGAACGATCAGCTGCACCGTGAGCCACTACAGATTGAACGAGGACAGAGACTTGGCCCCTGGGTTTAGCCACGTGGAGGTCACTGGTACCCTCCTGGAGTGACTGTGGGGGTGACGGGTGAGGATCCCGTGGAGGGTGGTGCATGAGAGCATGGAGAGGGAGGCATGGGGGCTCCCGGATGAGACGGTTATTTGGGGAGCTCTGCTGAAAAGGAGGGTGGAGAGGGGTGACGGCGGCTGGTAGAAGGGAGGTCACGTTCTCTCGAGGTGGGAGAGATGACGGGTCACATGGATGCGAACAGGACCCTGCAGAGAGGGCACACGTGACGTGCTGGCAGGGTAGAGCACAGCAGGACAGAAGCCCCACCCAGGCTTCTCCTTCTCTAAGTAGGATAAAGTTGTCCTCCCCCTCGGGAATCCAGAAATTTCTTAGGGACAGGCCAGAAGAGCCTGAGTCACCTGAGAGACATCAGCTCCCATGGGACATGCAGACCCCGGAGGGGCTAACTCCAGATGGATACTGGCACTGCAGGCGGGAGCAAGACAATGCTGGGGCTGTCCTGGGGGATTGTCGGGGAGAGGCGGGACCCCACAGATAGCCGCCCCCACCGAAGACGGCACAGGGCCAGCGGTGAGCCACACGAGCCAACAGCCAGGGCGGAGAGCCAGGCACACGAGGACCGACCCCCCCCAGGAAGAGGGCTGGCAGAGACAGAGGAGCGAGATGAGGGAGGAAGGGGCAGGTGGGCTCAGGCGGAGCCAGGAGGGACCCGGGAGCGAAGAAGTGGAGTGGCCGGGCAGGAAGGAGAGCCCTCCAGCCCCGGTGAAGACTGAGGTGGACGTTCTCTCCTTAGCTTTCTTCATGCATGGCAGAATTCCGTGCGTTCCGTGCCACTGGGTCAGGATTTGGAGGGGGCTGAGACTTCAGGTTTGGGGTTGTCATTCTCTGGACATGGGGTGGCTCGTGGGTGTGTCCTGCAGGGACGTCAGGTCGGCAGGCCCCCTTTGGCTGAAGGCGCATGACCGTCTCACCCGCATGAGCCGGACGCAGGCTGGTCCACCCCCACTGCACTAGGCCTTGATGACGGTTGAGCCCTTGGGTTTATAACTCCTGTGAAGTAGGCTGTTTCTTACTAAGCCAGATGTTCAAGAGACCCATGGCATTCTTCTCACTGATTTCTTTTTGGAAAAACATAATTGTTTTGCATTAGATATATTATTTATATTAACATGTAATGGGTTTACTTTTTTTTTTTAAAGGAATTAATAAACATAAAGGAAGTTAAAAAGTGTTTAGTTTAATTCTAAATGTGGTAGATGCCACATGGTGGAGCTCATTGGGGCTCTTAGTAATCTTTAGGCGTGTAAGCCTTGAGGGTCATTGGCTGGGAGTATTGTCACATCATCACTGTCGCAAGGGCACAGTGGCAGGTGCTGGCCGTAGGACTCAGCGTCATCACAGATCGTGTTCCCCAGAGGAGTTTGAAGGGAGAAGAAACTACAATTTCCCATAGAACTGTTTTTCTCCAAACTATCTCAGCGACAAGAGCGACCCCAAAGGCCCTTGCCTTTCTTGTGGGGTGGTCACAGCCGCGGAGTGGAGGAGATGAGTGATGGGTTTTTAGGACAGAGGAAAGATACGAGAAATGCAGTCACAGAATGACACAGAAGGGCCATCACACCGGCCTTTGCGGATGGCCAGGCGGGCATAGGCAGCGACGCGGCAGGCGTCGGGGCTGCCCTGCGGGACGCAGGCTCCTGGCCCTTGGGAGGAGACCCGGAAGCTCTGCTGCCCTGCCTTCCTGGAGCTGAGTGGCCTTGAGGGAAGGCCGCCTGCTGACACGAGCGGGCATCTGTGAGAGCCTCTCCCGAGAGCCTGTGCGTGGGCGCTGCTGAGGGCTGTGCCCCGTCCCCTTTCCAGACGACAGCTGGCTTGCCATCTCGTGACACTTCAGATAAAGTTTTGTGTCAAGGAAATTGAAAGGCACATTCCCCAGGGCGACAGGTAGAGAGAGCTGCAAGGATTTTATGAGAACAAACTGACCATTTTTGTCGTGAATGTTAATAAGAAATGAATGGGATCAAAGTATTCAGACTGACTTTCTACCGCTTCTAGGGTGACCTCTCTCTTCCCAAGTCCTGTCTTTTTCTAGAGAGAGAAGAATAAGTGTTCCCCTCTATTCTCCTTTCTGTTTAATGTATTCTATAAGTGGGGAAACACTTGAGCCTTTTGATTTTGTGTCAGAATGAAATGTCCTTCCTTTGGGGTTTGGACTGTTGGTGGTGGGTGGCCCTCCTGTCTCTTCCACCTGTCTCGCGTGGAGGAGAAACACTGCGCATGTGAGCGGTGCTGGGTGGATTAGACCATGTGGTATGTCCAGTGTTTTATTCATCAAGTTCTTGGTTTAGCAAGTTACCAGCCCTCATACTTCTCTTGAAATCAGACCTTGGCCTTCAGGATCGCAAGGCTGGAATGGGCCCCGCTTACCTTTTCCAGGGCCTTCTAGAAGCCCCTGAGTCAGCAGGCTTAGAGATGGCGCAGGCTTAGAGATGGCGCAGGCTTCAGGCAGGGTGTGGGGAAAGGGCACGTTGCCTCTGCTACTCACACAAACACCTGCGTGTTGCCACATTCCTGCTTGTTTGTTTAGCTTTATTTTACATAAAACCAGGTGACATAGCCGTAAACGAGACTTAGAAAATGTTCTACAAAAACCTAAACCACTTCAATGGCTCAGCAAAATCTTTTTTTTTCTTTTTTTGAGTTGGAGTCTCACTCTGTCACCCAGACTGGAGTGCAGTGGCATGCTCACGGCCACCACAGCCTCGACCTGCTGGGCTCAGGCGATCCTTCCGCCTCAGCCTTCCCAGCAAAACCTTAGTTTCGAATTCAGTCATTGCTGAAAGGTTGGGATGCTGGTTAACAACTTTAAAAACTTCGATTTAGCCTCCTGCCTCCCTGGCCAACGCAATGCACTGATATGGTTAGAGCTGGCACATGTCACTTACCTTCTGTTTGCTGGGCACATCCCTGCTGGTGGGTCGGCTCCGGGGGCGGGGACCTTACCTGCCCTGGTTACTGTACTCATGGCCCTGAGGTTTCTTCCTGGCCCACATCAGATGCTCGGTCTGTGTTTTTGAGCAAATGAGAGAGTAAAGCCCTAATTTAATCCCTGCAGCAACCTCATCTGATGACATCTGCCACACCCTCACCACCCCTGCTCTGTAGATGAAGCGGTTGGTGATTGGGGCTCCCCGCCCACACAGCCAGTGCCTGGCCAGGTGGGATCTGAACTCTGTGCCCCCAGCGAACAGAGTCCTAAAAGCGTAGGCTATCCCAGATGGATTTCAAACATTTTTGTTTTTTAAAAAGCAGAAGAAATACAATTAGATAATGAAAGCTCTAGAAAAAGACTTCTGAAATTAGAACTGACTACAAAGAAAACATTGTCAACTGATCTGTAAAATGTTTTAATTTTTGTAAGTATAAAAAACCCCCTCGCAGCCACGATATGTAGGAAAACAACATTGTACTTATAGTAAATATAACAAGTAATTCTTATCATTTTACATAAAGTTGCTGATAAAATTGATAAAAAGACACTACTGATAAGTGGTCCAACACGTAACTTTTTATCCAAAGGAGGATAACTAGTGTATGGACACACAGAAAAACACCTACCCCCTTATAAAGTCAAGTGAAAGCAGTGAGTGAGGTGGAAATTTCCCCCTGAAAGTTCCTCCAGGATCGTATTTCCTGACAGTTTCTCTTCCAGTTTCCCATTGAGAGATGTCAGGATTCAGAAAGACAGAACAATGCAAAGCCTGAGCGTTCTGAACCCTAAGGAGAATGGCTAGGCTTCCACAAGTCTTTTCCCAAATAGTACCCGGATGAAGGTGGACTGAGACCCACAGGGTCAACCATACCCACTGTGTGCCCTGAGAGAAGCAAGAGAAGTCAGGGCTCAAGAGGGAGGGGGAGGAGGCTGGCCTCCGACACCCAGCACACGACTCACAAGGCTCACCCTCACGACATCACGACATCGGCTAGTCCTGCTGCCTCGGGGGCCGGAACTGCTCCACCAACGGAGCAATTCAAGAGGAGACACGCAAGGGAGTTGGATGGACACACTATCCAGTTGGCTCCCACTGGTCTTCCTTGTTGTAAACACCATGACGAGCATCTTGTGGTGTGCAGAGTGTTCTGCATTTTGAATTTTGTTTTGGAATGCATTTTCAGTAGAAGGCAGCTCTTGATACCATCTTTATTTTTTTTTTAAGATAGAAAAGTTTATTTAAAAGTAAATTAGAAGCCGGGCTCGGTAGCTTAGCCTGTAATCCCGTGCCTTGGGAGGCTGAGGTGAGTGAATTGCCTGAGCCCGTGGGATCAAGACCCGCCTGGGCAACTTGGTGAGACCTCATCTCTACAATAAATCAAAAAATTAGCCGGGCGTGGTAGCGTGCGCCTGTAGTTCCAGCTACTCGGAAGACTGAGGCGGAAGGATCGCCGGAGCCCCCCAGGTCGAGGCTGCGGTGACTGGGAGCGGCCACTGCACTCCAGTCTGGGCGACAGAGTGAGACTCCAACTCAAAAAAAAAAGGAAATTAGAGAGAGAAAGAGAAAGATGAGAGGAGATTCACCTCCCCAAGGTGGGGGAGGGGGCCAAAACCAGGAAGCATGGCAACGACCATAGCTCAGAGAGCACATGGCCACACCAGAGCCTAGCAAGGCAGTGGCCACTGGCTGCTTGTGGTTGAGTCCTTTTAACCATTCCCCTAGACGGGGAAGATCATTAAGGCGACTGGGTGGTGGTCTGCTTCCATGTCATCGCAAAGGGGCAGGCAAGTGCAGATACTGGTGATGACCAACAGGCAGATGGGTGGGTTAGTCACATGGTTGCTGCCATGGTGGGGCTTATCTGTGTCACATAGTTCACAGAGGGCTGATTAGGTTCACCCTGGGGGGTGGGGTGGGAGGATTCCTGCAAGAGACTTGTTAGACATTTGCGATTCACACACTCAGACATTATGTTTTGGACTGTGGCGTCCGTTAGAAATGTGGTGTGCTGCGGGGAGGGAGGACACAGTGGCTACAGTGACTTCTGGGTGGAGCTACAGGCAGTGGGAGCCTCCCCGCCCCGGCCGCGTCTAGGGTCTTTGTTCCCTCGCGGCGCTGCCAGACCCCAAGAAGCAGCAATCCAGCCCCAGAGTTTCCGGGCGAAGCGGCAGGCAAAACGTACCCTCACCCCAGAAGGCTGGAGAATCCCGTTCTCATGGATGGAAAAAGCAAATGCACTCATTCTGAAGCTGACACGTTTTGTTTTAGATATTGGGAAAATTCACTCATTCTTCTCTTCACTCATTTTCATTTAAGATATTCTTTAGTTTTGATTAATCCCAGCCGCTATGCTAGTGCTGCATTTCAGTAGGGACTAGGACAAATTAGCCGTAAAGAAACATACAGGCAGTGAAATCACGTGGCACGCACGAGTGGTTGGTGAAGGCTGGGACCACCAGGGCCTGAGTCGGTGACCTAGCAGATTTGGGGTGACGGGGGTGTGTGAGGTCTGCTGTAGAAAGAGACTTCGGAGATAGCATACACCTGCCACAAGTATAATGCTGACCACGTTTCAAATGTGTTTTCTGTTTCAGTGCGGCGATAGTATACTCCACGCTCAGACTTCTCCAGGACTCAAAACTTTTTTTAAAGAAGGGAGTGCGAGATGTCACAGAGAATCCGCTCTCGCCAGGAGCTTCTGTATGTATGGATTTCACGTCTGTACTTACAATACTTACTACATAATAACTATTGCCATGCTAGGAAATTGTCTAAGTAATTATTTAGATCAAGCAAAGGGGTCATGTAGGAAAAACATTGGATCAGGAATAGAAAGATCAATGTCAAGTTCAGCTGATGTGCTGTACTCACTGGTGTATCTGGGGCAAGACCCTGCATTTTGTAAAACAATTCTGTGGCCTTATATGTGAGTGGATGGGATTGAACATGATAATCCCTGGTGCCCTGTCAGTTGCATTGGGACAGACATCTAGGAGTGACCTGCAGGTGGGTTGTGGCACAGACTTCGAGTGAGGGCGACCCCTGTGCGGGTTCCTGCTTGGGGTCTTGTGGTTGGATTCTTCCACTTAAGCTCTCAAATCTGTGTGGCAACGGTGTCATGCATGTTGTGACTGGACTTTGATAAGACCAGTAATTGTAACAATATGAGGTCATTCAGGGTTAAGCTGTAAAGACTCACTGCATGGAACCCTTGCTCATTATTTTAAGCATTACTAACAAAATCGCTGATGTCTAGCAGCATTACAAATTAGCAAAATGAATTGTCCTCATTTCTCACTATTTTAAAAGCAATAAAAATGCTAAGAAGCAATCTAATTCTCAAACTTGACTTTGAACAGTGGTTGTCAACTTAGGGTGGCTTTGCCTCCCAGGGGACCTCTGGCCATGTCTGGAGGTGGTTTGATGGTCATAGCTGGGCCAGGCACTGTCGGCATCTACTGGGCAGAGGCCAGGGACTGCTGAACATCCCGTGATGCACTCGACAGCTCCCACAGCCACCTGGCCCAGAATGCCTGTCAGCAGTGCCAAGGTTAGGAGCTCAGTGTAGATAACGTGGCCTGGCTTGTCCTTGGTCACAGGAGCTGAGCACTCAGAGATCCTGTTATCTTTATGGGGGCACTGTCTGTGTTGCTAACCCAAGTCCTAAGCTCCTGGAGTGCTCACCGTGATGCCCAAGTCCCCGTCGGCCTGAGGACACTTTTAGAACAAAAGTGTGATTTTTCCAGATGATGTTAAAGTTCCCTGATGTCCACGAGGGACTCTCTGGCAGAAGTGCCCTTTCACCCCCTCCAGGCTCTGGACATCTGCCCCTCCCCCCTTATAGAGTGTCATGTTGAGGCCAGCCAGCCAGTGGTGGTGCCTGTTTGGGGTGGGGGCAGCAGCGTGCCCAGTGGACGGAGACTGTGGATGGAGACTCAGGAAGACGCAGGCTTGACTCTCACCTCTGTCAAAATATGATGGGGTGAAGCAAGAGAGTGAATCTCGTGATGTCTCGGCTCTCCCAGCTGTGAAATGTGGTTGTTAGGAGGGTTAAATGGGATGCCATCTACACGACACGGAGTATAGGGCCTGGCTGTGTAGACGTTAGCGGGCATTGCTTATTATTTTTCAGCCCTTAAAGTGATGTTCACAAAAACTTTTGATGGCATGGAGACTGCTAATGACATAACCTGCAATGAAAAATACAGATGACGGACAATTTTCAGCAGAGGGTAGAGAGGAAAGCTGGGCCCGCACACCAGAACGACACACCAAAACGGATTGTGGGGCTGTGGCTGATTATGTGTATTTTACAGAATAATTTCTAACTTTAAAATTGTAACACTGTGAAGTGACACTGGGTGCCTTTTAAACGCTTTCATCACATTCAGCTGTAGGCTAGAACTTTGATTTTGTGAAATGGAAAGACAGTCTCGTTGCAATATTGTTTAGGCCGCTGAAAATAAAGACGACCCGGAGTTTTTAGACCCCATCTCCCTGAATGCCCGCGAGTACTTCAGCATCCACCTGTGGCTGAGGTGCCGCCTGGCGCTGGTGACGGCGTTCATTGCACAGATCCGTGGCATTGGAATCGTGAAAGGTACGAGTGTCCTGTGTTCTTAGTCGAAGTTTTCATAGAAATCGGTTTTGTGTAGGTGAAGGAAGTCTTACTTGTGTGACATGTCTTATTCAAATGGTAGCATTTTATGACCGTCTAACTTGACCTACTTCTGGAATTAAAAATCCCGCTTATCAAACAAGAATGCTCATTTAGTCCTTTGTGTCCCTGAAAGGGGGCACGTACCACCATTGCGCCTGGCATGGGCGGAGGCCCCCCAGGTCGAGCACCAGCCTCCTTGAGTTGCTGGGAGCGCTGACTCTGCTGCCTTGCCCCGGGGCGAGGTGCGAGTCTTTCTTGGCCGAGCCTCTGAATCCCCTGCGCCTCCCTTTCCTTCCTCTGCGTGATAGGGTAGCCGTGCCTACTTCCTAGGATGTCGTCGGTACACGGGAGCGTATCGAGTTCTCGGGTCATGGGGTGGCACGTGGAAATGCCAGCTCTTGCAGCGATGCCCCACTGCCTGCTTGCATGCCTCTGTCCACGCCCCAGACTCAGGTGTCTCGTGTGACATCATCGTTGCTTGGCAGCTCGGGAAGGTCCTGAAGTAGCCCCCGAATTAGTCTCTTCTCCACGTTTCCCTCTTCACGCCCTCTCGTTCTCTGACACCAACAGTTTCTGTGTCAAGCGCCGGGGACACCACCCACGCGCCCTTTCTCACTGCCTCCCCGTCTTTTAAGCAGCTGTCTTCCTGTTGCAGAGGACGACGTGACCGACTGCATGGGCCTCATCAAGGAAGTGTGCTCGGAGGCCAGGGGCGCCGGCGACGCAGAGCTGCAGGCCGAGCTCCTGACGCAGGCCGTGGTCCTCGGCCTGCAGGAAAAGCACCTGAAGGCGGACATCACGGGGCACCTGCAGGTGGGGTCTGTGGCGAGGGCGGCTCCCATCGGAGCGGGGCGGTTCCCTGGGTGCTGAGTTCCACGAGGTGCTGAGAGCGTCACAGCCGGGCGGCTCACTCCGCCTGGGGAATACTCTGTCTCAACAGGATGTGATACATTTGCTTGGAGGGCGTGAGTTTCTTTCTCCTCAGTCATGGTTGACCCTGGCGAGGAGCCTCGTTTTGCTGGATGACTTGACCAAGGCCGAGAGACTCAAGGAATCGCCCCCTTCAAAGGCAGAAAAGTTGAATTTGCTGACTCGGGCTCACAGCATTCTCACTGAGCAGGTGAGATGCTTCTGCGTCCACAGACCCAGAAATGTACTTTTGGGTCTTGTCTTATTGCAAACCACACTCAACAATTGCTCATTGCAATGTCTTCTTGTAGATGCTCACTTTAGGAGAAACCATTGAATCTCCTTTATCAGACACTGAATATGCAAGTCCGCTACAGCCTCTCAAGAATGTCTACCTTCCTCATGTCATGCTCTTGGCCAAGATAAAGATGAGGCTTGGTAAGAACTCGGGAAGCAGATACTGCTCTAGGGTAGCTGATGGACCATTGTGGTTATTGTCAGGCCGCTGTCATGTGAGCACGTGTGAAAGGGACAGGCTTTCCCGGGAAGGCGCCTGGTCCCAGAGGCAGGAAGGCTGGGGTGGGGGTGCAGCTGGGAGGCCGGGGCCTGGGCTCTCCTCTGGCATTCCTGCTTCCTGGCTGTCAGACCCTGGACGTCACTGATGCTCCCGGACCCCAGGGCCTCCCCTGCAGATGGGACAGGCGGCCCTCCCTGTGCGCGGTGTCACTGCGTGCTCCCCCAGCGGGTGTGGCTCCATGGCTGTGGTTTCTTGCGCCCTGTGTTGTCCCTGTGACCTGCCTTGCTTTTATTCCTCTATCTGTGTCAGTCTGATCACGTCGTTTTTGTCCCCGTGTCCCTGTTGCTGTCACAGGCGTTTGCTGTGCTCTTCCCTTCCCGGCCCTCAGCTCCCACGCGTGTCCCCAGCCCCGCTGTGGCCGCCACCCGAGGGCACCTTGGGGGGCGCATTTTACTTGCCCGCTCAGCCCGCCATCTGGAGTCCAGCCCCAGAATTTTTCCTCCGTCCCTTACTCTCCAGCTCCTCGATTTTACTGAGATAATTTAGCACTTTAGGTGCAAAGCAGATTTCCTTCCTTTGAGAAGGGACTCCGTTGAGAGCGCACAAAGCCCAGTCTTGGTCGCCCGCCCGCGGGTCCCGGTGTGGCCCTGCCTCCGCCTCTCGCTCCGCCTCCGGAGTCCCAGCGCTTTGGGCCTGGGCTCTGCCTCACAGGCTGCCGGTCGCGTCTCCCAGCCAAGCGTCTCCCTCGGGTGCTTCTGCACCCGTGCTCCTGCCTTCCGGCACGTGAGCGTGCGCCCTCAGCTCGGCCCAGAACCTCAGGTGGCCTCAGCCCGAGGATTTGATCGCTCTGAACGTTGCCAGCCCAGTCTCAGGGCTGGCCTGCTTGTTCTTTTCTTCATGCAGGACACCTGTTCTTTCTGTCTGAGAACATGCAAGCGTCCCCGCTTATCTCTGTAGCTGGGGGCTTTGCTAGCATGTCTGGCATGCGTCTTTCCTTTCCCCGCCTGGAGCTCAGCCAGCTCTCTCCCCGTGAAAGGCCTCCAGTGCCGAGGGTCTCTTCCGGCTTAGTCCCTGGTTGGCCACTCTCTGCTCCTCAGCTTCCTGGTTTCACATCTCAAGCGTGTGACCTAACTGCCTTCTGCCTCAGTTTCCTCATTCCAGAATGGGGACATCTTAGTCTGTTGGGCTTTGCAACAAAACACCTTAGACCCAGTGGTCGATGACCATCAGAAACTAATTGATTGCCATCCCAAAGGCGGGAAGTCCAGGAACAAGGCGGGGCAGGTTCTGTGTCTGGCGAGGCCTTTCCGGTCCTCACATGGCGGGAGGGGCCTCCTTCATCAGGGAACTGATCCCATTTGGGAGGGCTCCACCCTCATGACTTCATCACCTCCCGAAGTCCCCACCTCTTTTTTGAAAAAAATTTTTTATTTATTATAAAGATGTGGGGTACAGTTAAGGGTTCAGTGTATAAACACCGATCATGCAGGTCCCCTTGTGGATGGGGCGTGCCCCTCCCTCCCCTAGCAGTTTCCTCAACTGCCAGTCCCACCCCCCCCGACAGTTTTCCACTACTGTTCCACTACTGCCAATCACTTTCTTATAGCTTTATAATTGTTCAAGGTCTTAATGCCATTGCCATGGGGTTAGGTTTCAGCAGAGGGATTTTGAGGTGCCACAGACATTCGGGGGATGTCATGGCACTTACCTCAAAGGACTGTTAAGAAGATTCCATGAGCACTGCTCGATGTTGACTGTTGTTATTTATATGTCAAGTCTTGGCGTGTCTCCCAAAGCCATTGTCTTTTCTCTCCCAATTTGCTTTTGTTTTTGTCACCTGTGACTTGGGCTGCTTCTGCTTGGTCTTTCTGATCATTAGTTTGGTTTTCGGCATCGATCCGCTTTGGATTGTCTGAAACCGTCATACCTCTATTCGTGCCCCTGCTTTTGCCTCACACTTGTTGTGTGACCCTCAATCAGCTTGTCTGCCGGACGCTGCCTGTCCTCTTGCGGCTGCTGGATCTTCTTTGCTGGACTGTTTTGCTGGGCCTCATCCCTGGGCCCAGGTCCAGCTGCTGGATTCAACTCAGCAGAGGCAAGACCAGGAGTGGCTGCAGTGGGTCGCTCTGCCCCGTGGTTGGCTCTGGGCCGGCCTTCAAGGGTCCATCCCCTGCCGGGCGCCCAGAGAAGTGGCCAAGGCCAGCATCCTTCAGCTTTAGGAACCGAGAGGACTGAGGCCGTCCGCGGGGCCCTCGCAGCTCCCGGAACCCGAGGCGCAGCCGGCCAGAGCTGCCCTTCCTCAGAGTATCCCCCAGACGCTGTCTCTGACCTTTGACCCCCAGGCCGCCTGCTTTGGTTCCCAGGCCCATGTCTGTCCTGCCCATCGTCTTCTAGGGCAGGGGACTGGTGGGGGCGGCAAGCAGGTGCACTGCAGCTCCTGCCTGTCAGTACCTTCCCTTCTTCCTTCTGCTCTTCCATCTCACAATTACTGAGAGTGTTATTCTATCACCACCTGTGAACTTACGGCTTTACACGAACGAATTTCCTTCTGTCTGGAGACTCCTCGCTTCTGAAATCGGGCCTTCTCTTTGGGCCTCTCGGATTCCTCCCAGCTTGCTGATCTCATGGGAGTGATTTGTCTGTATTTTTAGTTCACAATTTCTTATATTATCAGGATATTTGATTTCTATGGGAGCTTTAAGTACAGATTGCATTAAATCATACAGATTGCATTAAATCATAGAGGTTGCACTGAATCCTACATCTTGTGCAAATTCCGATGTATTCTCTGCTCTTCTGACTCACTGATCTGGAAGACACGTCACCGCCCGACGACAGTGCTGTTTCTGTGTTTTGATGCCCTTGAGGCCAAACAGCTTGCTTCCGGGCACATTACTTTAGATACAGACCTAACAAAGCCAAAAGCAACCTTTTCTGTCAAAACAACTTCAGCCTCGTGTCCTTTTCATCCTTTTCATAGAGTTGGTGTTTACTGGAAAAGGAGCATTTCTGTGTCACAAAGCACAGAACACCTGTGCCTTAATGCTTTCCTGACAGACTTTCTGTGTCGTGCAGATGGTATCCCCAGAGTGAGGCGCTGAAATCTTTTTCTCTTTGTGGAAGCCTCTGGTAGAAAAGGCATTTTGAGATTATTTAAAACAAAAGTGAACACCATGACTCTGTGGGATTCTCTTTTCTGCTGATGACTCCGTGCAGCAGCCCTTCACGTGCAGTCAAGTTCTGTCATGATGACACTGTGTAAGCACCGTGGCCCTTGTCTGGTTGAGGTGACCCAGTCCACAGCAGGCAGCTTCTGTCATGTTCAACAGTCACCGCCTATCAATAGTCATTTGCAGGTTTGATGGGGAACGACGTGCAACCCCGGGTGTCTCCTGACGACCTCGTCTTAGTGACATGGACAGGCTTTGTAGGGCATCGTGAGGTTTGAGAGCAGAAGAAGATGTGGGGGTGTGTCCTTCATTTTAAACATGAGAAAACACGCTGGAGATGTATCAGAGATAAGGTTTCCAGGAGTGTGCTTGTGGCTCGTTGACATTTTGGGTCTTGCGTGTCTTCAAGACGCTTCCTGGGTGCTGCAGAGACCGCGAGTTTGTGCGGGGCCCGTGGTGGAGAGCAGCATGGTCACTGGGGCCTGTCGCGAGCCCAGCGCAGCTCACTGTCCCTCCCAACTGCTTTCCTGCAGGACACACGGTGGCCAAGCAGGTGTACGCCCGCCACAGAGGGAGGGAGCCCTCCCAGTGGCTCCCAGCCATGCGCCTGCTGGAGACAGCATGGAGGCTGTGCAAGATGGCAGCGGGGCAAGAGCCGGAGGTGGAGGCCGAGATCCTCTTCCAGAAAGGTCAGGTGCACTTGGGGCCAGGACGGGGCAGCGAGGTGTGGCACTGACTACGGGCTTCTGGAGAATCTGTCCTTCCCTGCAGAAGCCACAGGCTGCACAAGGGCTTAGAGATAACTAACCCATGGTGCCTCCACCACGCTCAGTTTTAGGTAAAAGAGCACCGCTGACTTGTTTTTGTGTCTGCCAAGAAAAAAGCGCTGCCACCTGGTTGTTGTTGTAATTGCAATGGACCCTTCTTATACAAAGTTTCATGTTTAACTGAAAAATGGCAGATTCAGCCACTCGGCTGTCAACAGTATTACCTGATGCCTGGAAGATAACATTTTCTGCACTAGGTCATTACTGAGATACACATTTTGGTTCATTTCTGTCAGTCGGAGCTACATACCCATTTAAGTTAAAGAGATCTAGCACTCCTACACTTCACACGACACCTGTGCACACAATGCAGTCCTGTGATGTTCTTGTGGCCATTTTAGCCCTGATGATGGTGACTGACATCTTCTGCTGAGCTTCTGCCAGAGGAGCCCCGTAGTCAGCACTCAGCGTCTCCCGCTGCCACTTCTCCAGACAGCTTTCCCCACAGGCAGGCACAACTAAGCCCTGTGGACAGATAGGGACAGCGAGCTGCAGCCCGCTGGAGCAACTTCCAATAGTCAGCCGCAGCTAGTCCTGGTGCTGGAGGGGGCCTCACGCTGGCCAGCTTGGACCCTGCCCACAGGCTGTGTGGACACTGTGACTTCTTCTCGCAGTGGTGCTAAGGACCCCCCTTCCTGCCTGTAGCAGCCTGGGCTCTATGGTACCCTGCCTCTGCAGACCCAGCTCACCCGGGGGCTAGGAGCCAGGTACAAGCCGGACACCCTGTTATCACTGAGCGTTTTCAAGCAGTTGCTGACTTTTTAGGATTTATCATTTTCCTTGAAGTTTGTGATTTTTTTTTAAAATTTAAAAATGTTTTTAAATTTAAAAATGTTTTCAATTTATTCTTAATTGACAGATAAAAATGATGTATATTCGTGGGGTTGCATGTGAGATGTTTAGATGCATGCATGCATTGTGGAGTCATTAAACCAGGCTAAGTGGCATAGCCGTCATCTGACATGCTTGCTACCGTTTTGTGAGTGTGTGGTGAGAATGCTTAAAATCTACTCTCACGGCAATCTTCAAGTACACAATGCATCACCATAAATCGCAGTTACCCTGCTGTTCAACACGTCTCCAGCGCTTGGTCCTCCCATCTCCAGAGACTCTGTGCCCTTCGGCCAACATCTCCCCGTCCCACACCCTCCCACCCCCGATCTCAGGCGACCGCCACCCCACTCTGCTTCTGCAAGGTGGCTTTTTTAGCTTCCGCAGTTGAGTGAGATCTTGTGGTATCTGTTGTTCTGCCTAGCTTAGGACCACGTCCTCCAGACCCATCCGCGACAGTGCGAAGGGCAGGCTGCTGCTCTCAGAAGGGCTGGGCAGGCTTCTGCCGTGTGTGCACCCCCTTTCTGTAGCCACCCTTCCACTGAAGTCTCGGTGTCTTGGCTACTCTGAGCAAGGGCTGAAGCCCATGCGGGAGAGCAGTGTCTTCTCTGGTGCCCGCAGGGTGGACAGACGGGAGAGGGAGAGCGGACGCCGGAAGGGGAGTCCGAGACCCCGGACGGGAAGGAAGCACCACAGCCGGGTGTGGAGGAAAAGGGGCACCGAGAGCAGCGGCTTGCCCGGTGTCGCTGCTGGAGGCAGGGATGCCGGTGGGCTCTGCACACGGAAGCCGGGCAGCTTCCCCCCGGGCTCGCGGGGCAGCGAGAAGCAGTGGGCAGACCACCGCGAGGGCCACACGTCACACGTTCTGGACGTCAGCACGCGATGTCTCCTCTCAAGTTCCCGGAGACAGAAAAAGGAAGCGTCATCTGTGTGTATCCTTTTATTTCTTCAGGCAAAATAGAACGTCAGATGCTGATGGAAGAGAAATCCCCGAGTTCACAGCTGGAGAGTTTTTACGGAGCCATACAGCTCAGCCTGAGAAACGATCAGAACTCAGGGTAAAGCATGCGCTTTCCAGGGTTGCCAGAGGTGTGTTGGGCTTGAGGCCTGCGTTCTGGTGGCATTTGACTTCACAAGGCTGGAATGATTAGGGGTGCGTTTGGATTGAACCTCGGGTTCTGGTGGCGTTTGACCCCTCAAGGCTGGAATGACTGAGGGAGCCTTTCAAGGCCGGGCCAGCTGGGGGAGTCCGTGTCCAGCTTGTTGCTCTTGGCTCTGACCTGAGTCATCCTTTGCAGTAAGGGTGATGACGGCCATCGTTACCTGCCTGTTGGCCTGCACCAGATCTCCTGACAGTCCCAGGACTGCCGGGGCCTCCCCTGGATTACTGGCTTCTAAACCAGGGGATCCTCCCTTAGGTGTAAAGTTGTGTCTAGAAGGGTCATGTGGGGGTCATCCATCCGGCCACCAGAACCAAGTCTGGCCAAGTTAATTGTATAAAATTCACCTCTATATCGAGAGCAAGCCATCTTTATTACAACTGCACTGATGCAAGTGCCCTGATCCAGCTGAGAGGTTTGATGGCAGACACATAGACCTGGCCCGTGCCACATCAAGTCACTGCTTTCTGCATGCATAACTCTGCCTCTTTCAGTTTTTGTTAGCGTAGGAGGGTGGGGAGAGTGACCTGGCTTTCAAGGCAGAGTCCTCCTTCACTTCTTGAGTGCCTCGTGTGCCGGAACATTCCAGAATGGATTTGGGACTGGGCTTTGCAGTCACAGCATGGAGTGTAACCAGCACAGGACAAGGCAGAACGCCAGCCTCTTCAAGTAGGACGGGAGACACTAGCATCTATGGCCAAGCGTGCTCTAAGAGAGGGTGTGGGTTTGGGAGAGAAGATACTGGCTTTGCCAACTTTGACCTTTCATCAGCTCAGGAATTTTGACAAATGTTGCAGATAATTATGAGTGGTGCCGCTATTTACTAAGCACGATACGGTATCATTTTAGATTGATAAGAGATGCCTACCTAGAAATGGCCCTGTTGTATTTTCATCTGAAGAAGCCAAAGAGAAAAACTTCAGGACTACCATCCACACCTAAGGTAACAGCCAATTTTATTAGAAATTGTAAGTTAGTTGCCTTTGAGCTTGCTCATTGGTAACACTGAAATAATCTCATCATTGAAACAATGAGACTGAAAAAAAAAAAAAGAATGAGACTGACTTTCCTGTGTGACTTGGAAAAATTCCTTCATTGCTTTGCAGTTGAACTTGTCTTTAGTACCTCTCTGGGCATTTTCTGTAGGGCTCTGGAAACAGATTTCGTGCAGACACTTGTGCCTGTGGGCGTTGTCCATGAAACAGAGGTGTGTTCTGTGACACTAAAGCAATGAATTGTTAGTATTGATGAGGGAATTGCCGGAAATAGCGTATTGGTTAAGCAGATGGATGGCTAAGGTTTTCATACCGTTGTGGCCTGTAAACAGGCCCCCTCTGGGTGGGGTCCATTATTCATTCCTCGCACACCTACTGAGCATCTGTGATGGCCCAGGCACCTTTCCAGGGGAAGGTGTCAAAGCGGGGTCTGAGACAGCCTCTGTCTGTTCCCATGGGCTCGCCTTTCAGCAGAGGGAAACAGACAATAAATCAGTCATGGAGGGCAGACAGAAGTGTTGGGGGAGCGGGGTGGAGGAGCCAGGAGCCAAAGGGGCTGACTTAGGTAGTGAGGCCACCGGGTCTGAGGGCTGTGAATGAATGTTGCGGGGAGAGACGGCCTGTGAGGCCGCGCCTGACGGACGAAGAAGGGCCGTGCAGAGGACGGGTGAGCTGCCAAGCCAACATGCAGACACATCTCTGAGCCCCTGTGAGGTTGCAGACGCGGGTCCAGTGCATCAGGCGAGGGGCCTGAGGCTGGTGTGGCCCCGAGGACCAGGCTGAGGAGGACCTGGAGGCAGTCAGCGCCTGGCGGGTCTGGAGCACAAGAGCCCAGAAATCCTATATATTTTCATCTTTAATGAAAAATTGTTTGACCGCGGTCCCCCCGAGATCTTTTCAGAAAATGTTGGTGTCAAATCTTTAATTTTTGAGACAGCAGAAACAGGATTTAGAACCTCTGGGCAAAGAACTGTCAGTCAACCGAGATATTAGTTATTCATATGGAAGTTGCCTTAGGCGGATAGCACTTATTTTTTAAAATCAAAATAACTACAAACTCGAGAAAGTTACTTTTTGTGGTGTGATAAACATGTTTATTTCCAGTAAGAGGAAAAAAGAAGGCTTTGTTTCTGTAGCAGGTGGCAATTCAAATTAATAGGATGCTGGGATGAGAACGTAGCACCTTTCTGGCCCTTAGTAGAGAAGTGTTTAGAATCAAGAGCACAAAGACATTAGGGGGTGAATGTAAAGAGTGGTATAATTCCATACGATATGACCATTATTTTCTGTATGTCTCAGCAACATACATATTTTAGCAAGTCACAGAATATTAGAAGCACAGAAACAGCCAACAACAAGTAAAAAAATTTCATCCAGCCACATATAGACCATGAAAAGATAACATCTGAAAAATGTCCTCATAAAGACAACACATTATAAACCCTTAAAGAAAACATGGTCATTTCAGCTGCATGGGTATCCACGTGGCTGGGGACCACAGCGCTGGTGTGGGTTTGTCCTGGCTTCGTGACACATGGCTGTGTGACTAGGCCTTCCTAAACCTGTGAAACCAAGATGATGGCACTTGGCTTTTAGAGTGGCTAAGAGAATTAACCAAGATTGTAGGCTTGTAAAGGACTTCAAAGAGAGAATGGTCACCCATCAGTATGTACCTTCAGCTAAACATCTGGAGTTTTTCTAGTGTTTTGGTCAGAGAAGGTACTCAGCAGCTACTTGCTAGGTAGGTGAACTGACCGTTCTTGAACGTTCACGTATGTACGGGCAACCACACTCTGACTGAGGCTCTCTGCCTGTCAGGCACTTTGCTCTTACCCCGGGGAGCCCAGGGCCTACCAAGGGCAAGAAGTAATGGCATTGCTGTGTACATGGTCTACACTCGCAGTCTGCCGAGGTGGGCAAGGGGTCACAGTGGGGCTGAGTTCTGCGGGGGGAAGCAGAGGGGGACTTTGAAGGACAGGGGAGCTTTCCAGGTAGTTAAGTAGGAGAAATGCAGAGAGCCACGCGCCCATCGCTGCCATCAGAGGTTGGGTTGAATCTTACATCAGTTTGGGACCGTTGCTGTCTTCCTGGTCATGAATATGAATTGTCTCTTCATTTGTTTAGAGCTAATTTCTCTCAGCAATGTTTTATATTTTTCAGTGTACCAGGCTTGCATGTTTTTGTTAAATCTATTTCTATTGGCGATGGGATTTTTATTTTTTAGACTGCTTATTGCTAGTAATGTAGGAATACAACTCATTTGTGTGTATCAAGTTTTGTGCCTTGTGACCTCCTGCACTTGTTAATTCTGTGTGTGTGTGTTTTAAGCTTTTCTACGTGCAGGATCACATCGTCCGTAAAGACACTGACTTCTGTTTGCAGTCTGTGTGCGTTTCTCCCTCTTCTTTCCTGTTCACATGACTGGAGCCCCCTGTGACGTGTTGAATACCTCTCTCCCTCTAAAAATTCCCCCATGTTCCCTCCCCACCCCACCCCACATGCATTCGTCCTGAGCTTACCACAGCTTCCTTCCCGACGCTTCCATCAGTTAACATGACTTTCTTCTTTGACTGGGTCATAACTGTTCTTACACTGTGGTTATTTAATGCTGTTCTCTGTCCTTCCCTGCATGCCCGTTAGCGTCGGGTTGGAATTAAAGCAGGTGAACTGCCCACCTTGTGGCGCCTCCGAGCGACATCACAGCTGGTGGTCGGGGCCTCTTTGTCCTGGGACGGGGTCTGGTGCTCGGGCTCCCCACAGGCAGGCCCCTTGGCTCCTCTTCCAGGTCCAACACCGGCCCAGGCCGGGCCATGTCTCGCCAGCACTCACCGCTTGGAACCCACGTTTCACCTGCCTTGCCTTCCCTGGGGGCTTCTGTCTGGAAGCAAAAGAAAGACATTTTTGTCAGGGTTTGTTTTATTCTGCAGTTTTGTTGAAATGTAAGCAATTGGTCAAAATATGGGTATCAGAAGGTTAGCACCAAGGGGTCTGATTGAACAGTCAGCTCTATCCAGCTCTTTTAAATCCCAAGAAATGATTTTAACACTTATTTTAGTGAGCTTAAAAAGTGTGCAACAGACGCTGAGCTGCTGACGGAGTCTCCTTCTGTTCGCTTCTGTAGCATCGAGTTTCTTATGTTTAAAAACTGAATTGACATCTACACACGCCTGGAAAAACGTCCCCAGTCGTTGTTTCTTTTCATGATTCTATGGACTTTATGATAATATTGTCTCTTTAATATTTTCCTAGTTAGAATGATGACAGCAAATACTTGCCCCAAACCTTTAAGCAGAGTTCTCATTTCTAACATTGTTGCATACAATATATTCAATTTACAGAGTCTTTATTAAAATGACAATTTCACTTAAAATGACATTTTTATTAGTTTATTGCACAAATGATGCACACTCATTATAGAAAATTAGGAAAAAACGATAAAAGATAACGTAGTTACCCTTAAAACTTGGGATAACCACTGCTACTAATCGTCTCTGTTTTGATGTACAGGGACTACCTGTGTGTACATAGTTTTTTAAAAGTGGTTACATACTTTGCATACAAGGCTGTAGCCTGCACTTTTCTCTCCCCAGTGCATTCTGAGTATGTTTTCGTGTCGATAGATACGTTATTATTCTTAATGACTGCATGGTATTTCACAACAATCTCATCTTCAGACGACGAGACGATGTATCATGAGGGTTTACGCTATGCCTAAGCGAAGCTCCTTTCTGTTTCAGCCTCTTCCCAGAAGGCACAGCTCTCTGAGAGACACCGCGGCGAGTTGCCTTGAAATGTACAGCACCCTGGCCTGGATCGCCATCAGGGCGGCCGCGCAGGTGGGCTGGCTTCTGCTCCCTGGCCTTTCTCTGCTCTGCCCATCGGCTGCTGAGGGACACGATGATCCAGAAGAAAGAAAGGAGGAGGCCACGCTCTGTGGGGCTGTGGGAAGACTCGGAACACCGAGCCCGTTGTGTGTGTGGCGCTGAGTCTCCGTTCGCCAGACCCGGTGCTGCTTGTTTCAGCTTTCGTCAGGGACAGCAGTGGCCAGGGCACATGTGTGTGTGCTTGGCATGTTGCCGACTCCCTGTCACAGCTTGGTGATGCAGCTGATTGGGAGCGACTTACACATTAGCTCAGTGGCCAGCACTGCATGATTTGTTGGACTATGAGATATCATTCTACATGTTATTCTCTCGGGTTGTCCAGTGTATATGGGATATTAGTTCATGTGGTCGGTCACGCATCCACACGACTTACCTAGTGGGTGATCTGTGAATCGGCAGCTTCTGCGTATGTCTTCTAACGCGCGTGTTAATTGCAGGTCAGCGAGGCTGTGCTGGCCGTCAACCTGTTGATTGGAAGGAAGAACACCCGAGATGACAAAATTAACCAGTTGGCATTATCCAATGTCCCAGAATTCGCCATCCTGGATCTTCTGTCTTCATACACGGATTATTTGCTTGGTATGTGCGGATCTACACATTTTACAGATGCCTTCTGTATGTGCTTCGAAGGCTTAATTTTAACTCGCTGGCTTTTAGCTTGGAGGGGATAATGGCTTGGGGAGTTTTTAGGGGAAAGAGGGCTCTGGGGCTGGAGGAGAGGGTCCCCAGCTCTCGCATGTGCATTTCACTTGCCCAGCCCATGCGTTTTGACGTGGGGTTCTGTGAACACGGGCATTTCTCCACATTGTTCACTCTTTGCTTCCCACACACTGAGTGGCACTTCGGGGGTGTCGCTGGAGGGTCCGCCTCGGACCCGCAGGCCTGGAACATGCCTTTCCCTCACCTTCTCACGGGCTCCCTGCTCTTCCTTCTTGAGTCTGTGGGTGTGATTGCGTGGCCACCTCTGCTCTTGTTCAGTGACCGTCAGCCGTTTGCACCCAGGGCTCTCTACTCCACGTCCCGACAGCGCTCGCTCATGCAGGTGTTCAGTGGTCAAGGAATTAACAAATGAGAGAGTTTAAACTTGACCTCGGGGCGACTCGTGTTTTTGCTTCGTTTTTACCCATTTGTTGGTTAGTAAACTCTAATATAAGCCCCTGTGGCTGATCGGTGGTAGCATAAATGCTTAACATCCACTTATGGGTGTGTCCATTCATTCATTCACTTGAAAAGTCTCTGCCGAGTGCTTCTGTGTGCTGAGCACCTGTGCAGGTGCCAAGAGGCAAGAACTGGTCTCGCTTCCATATTGGCATGTATAATGACACCCGTCTCTAGTCTGCTCGGTGCTGGGTGAGCCCTGAGCAGGGGGAAGAACTCCCCCCCTGTGCCTTCCTCCAGCAGGGTGGGTGGGTGTGGTCTTCCCACGGCCTTGGGGTCACAGCAGGGGCGTTGTTAGGTCAGCCTGAGCTGAGTGTGTCCTCGGCCTGGCAAACATAGCCTGGAGTTTTATGGCTTTCATGCCAAGACTATGGCTTCTTGCTTGACTTCCTTCCTGCCGGGGAGAGGGCTGCTTCTGCAGGTGCCTGGGCCCGGCCTGCACCTGAGCCTGGGCACGCGCTCTCCCGAGGCCCCCCGATGGTCCTGCAGGGCCACAGCCTTAGCCCTCGCAGGCCAGTCTGGGCGCCCCACGGCCGGTGGGGGCAGGCCACGTGTCACCAGCACCGCTCCCCTGGTCCTGAGTGGAGAGAGTGTGTCCCCTGGGAAGCACTGTGAGCGTCGTGCTTGGGAGCGAGCAGGATGGGCAGCAACGTGGACAGCCGTGTGGGCAACCAGCAGCCCCATCACCAGCCTGCTCTGTCGACCCTGTGGTCTCTCTCAGTCTCACTGCTCTGATCCCTAGACTGGATTCGCCCAGGCTCTGAAGGCCTTACACCTGTGGTTCCAGCTCCTGGCCCAGCCTTCCCTTCGTCCTCCTGGTTCCTGAGATTTCTAGAAGTGTGTCTGCTTTCTCCTGGCCAGTTCCCTGTGCCAGTTTTTAGAGCAGAGATAAGCGATTTCTTTTCTCAAAGATGGACCCCACAACTTTGTTTTTGGCGACAGGGACTCACCCTTCCACTTAAGCCACATGGTATGCTTTGGGCCATGGGTTGGCCACGGGGTAGTGGAAGATGTGCTGGGTGTGCATGTGCGTGTGTGTGTGTGTGTGTGTGTGTGTGTGTATGTGTGTGTGTGTGTGTGTGTGTGTCTGGGGCCCTAAGGGGTAAGGCTGCCTGGGGCAGGGTTTTCTTGGGGTTGAGACCAGAGCCAAAGAACCATGGCCTACACTGCACAAGCTCCTGAGGTCAGAGCGAGCTGTGGGCCGAATCCCGAGTGAGTTGGGGGAGATCCACTCTGTCCCCACTGGGGGGGGGGCTGTTCCCTGCCCAGGAACGGCTGCGGGCTTCCCCACCTCCCAGGGAACACCAGGACGTGGCTTTCTGTCCAGAGTCAGTGCCCCCTGCAGCAGGCCCAGCTTTCAGCTTCTGCTTTACCCCGTCAGCAGCTTTGACTGAACTCCACAGACGTCAAGCCCAGCATGTCGTGTATTTCCCTCGCCTTAAGAGTAAGAGTTCAGCCCTCCAGTCTGCTCCTGGTCAGTGCGTCACAACCTGCTGACGCTACCCTCATGACAGCGCAGGTCGGCGGGGTTGAAATTCCCGTCTGGTCACGGATGCCAGCGTAGCGGGGGTCCCACGGGGCGAGTCACTGCAGGGCGAGATCCTTCACCACAGCCAGCCCCGCGTGCTTCCTCGTCCGTGGTTAGCAAGCCTTGGCCCCTAGCAAAAAGCCTCCTCAGCCACCTCAGCTTCCAGCTCCACGAGTGTCGGTCTCCGCCGCCTGCCCATGAGGCGGTGAGCAAGCTGCCCTGGCCGTGTGCAGAGCACAGGGCAGGGAGGAGGAGGGGGAGGCAGGGAGTAGGCCGAGGAGGGGGCCCTGACCCCCGAGAGCTGCTGGTCGCAGGCCGCGCTGAGGTCTTGGGAGTTCAGCTTTCGGGACGAGCTGAGAACGACACAGGTGAACGTGTTGGAAGCTGAACGCAGGCCTTCCTGGGCGCGGACTCAGGAGGAGGGCACAGGTGCACCGAGGACGTGCTTCTGGGATGGTGCACAGGGAGGGTGCTGCCGTAGGACTCAGGCAGGGTGGGAGGGGGAGGCAGGTGCCTCCACGGAGCGACTGACAGCAGAGTATGAGGGACGGACGCGTTGCGTGGAGGGCGGACAGACGGCCCCTTGCAGAGCCAGGGAGCAGGGCCTGGCAGCCAGGACAAGGACAGGGCTGAGCCCGCACCTGGCCCAGCTCAGCCCTGTCCTCAGCTGAGGGACTCGCGCTGTTGACAGAGGAGCTCGGAAGCTTCCAGGCCAGTGTTCAGCGGAGCCAGGAACTGTTCGCAGATCGGGTGGCCCTGAGCCAAGCTGGCGTCGAGACACGGCACAGCCACATGGCAGAGAGTGGCCCCCCGCCACCTCGTGGAACACCGGGATGCGACTTCACGGACAGAGAAGGAAAGTGACCTGCAGGCAGCAGAAGTGAGGGGCAGAGACTGCGGGGCGGACTGCAGCTCGGTGGTTGTCTTGTTTGAACACGGTTCAGACAGCTGGCCACCTGTGGTGGGCCAGAGACTGGCACAAGAGTGGGCGACGGTCTGTTACGCATCCGGAGGGGACAGCCACCGCACACGGAGAAGCTTTTAGACTGAGCTTGAAATGTCAGCAGGCAGCAGGCTAGGCTCAGCTTAGCGCTCCCTGGGCTTGCAGGAGCAGAGCCCTCAAATGACACCTGCCATGGGAGACCACGTTTAGATTCAGGGCAAGAAACGTCCATGGGCTGCCTACCTTGGCCCAGCTCTCTGCAAGCACATGCTCCGGCATTTTGTTTTGATTTTTCTTGTGGTCGTAGCAAAAATCCAGCTGGAATCAGAATGGTTACATTCTGTAAGACATTTGGGTTTAAGACCGCATTTAGGATTAATGGTCCCAAATGCAGCTCCTCACAGTGAAATACACATGATACACAGAACAGTGTAAACCTGTGTTGTGCTAAAAGCTAATGCTGGTGAACCCAGGGTCAGATTACAAGAAGTCACATGCGGAACAGAGCTGGGCACCTCACTGGACCCTCGGCTGCGTCTTGCTACCTGTGCAAGGCCTACCAACGCGGCTGAACTCCCACCCAACCTGACCCTGCCCACTTCAAGGATCAGGAAGGCCCGCGGACGGGAGCTCCCCACTAGGGCACCCCCACAAGACCCCGGGATCCAAGACGGCAGCCTGCCCAACCGCTCCCTGTCAGGACATGCTTTGATGACACCCCCTCGGCGGCGTGACGGGAGGGAGGGAAAGGGGCGTGGCCCACCTTCTGGGTAGTCCCCCCCAGGAAAGCCATGGACGTGCCTCCCTGGCCTTTCATGTCCAGCCCTTCCTCTGTTTTAACCTCTCACCCTGCATCTGGGAGAAGGATTCGCAAACCCCGGGCCGCGTCTCGACTCTGTGGCTGCACAACAGACGCCCGTCTTGCTCGGTCCCACTTTCGGCCTTGGACACTGGCCTTGGCGTACTGGACAGGAAGGAGCCTCATTCTGAGGGTTCTCTGTTGGTGGCAGCTTTTCCTCTTAAAACAGAGCAAACCTCCCACGCGAAGACACCCCGTCCGGCCCCCGCCGAACGCCGGCCCTGTGCAGAGACACGGAGTCAGCCCCTTGACCGGAGCTGCGTGCTGCTTCTCCCTGCCTCCGGGCCTCCGGGCCGCCCTCCCTCTCGGTGGCTCTGCCCCAGCCCCGCCCCAGGCAGCCGGGCTGCAGGGCATCCGCCTCTTCTCCTACTGAAAGAAGTGACCACAGTCATCCTCTTGCAGCTCTGGAGTGGGACTGGGCTAACAGCTGCCACGGCCCCGCTCCTCTGGGCCTCCGGGGAAGAGCCTGTATCTGCCTTTTCCAGCTTCCAGGCTCTGTCCCCAGCTCGCAGCCCCCTCTGTGGTCCACGCCCGCCGGGAACCCTCTTCCCAGCCCTGCCCCCGCCCTGGCTCTTCCGCCTCCTCCGGCCACATGTGCAGACACGGTGATGACCAGGAGGGTGTCTCATCTCAAAGGCCTGCAGGATCCTTCATCTGACCTGCCACCTTCACTCTTCTGTGGACATGAGTGACAGGAGTTCCCCACCTGAGACACCACGTGCTTGTGTGAACTGCCAGGGCTCCGTGCAGAGGTCAGGTGCACGCCACTCAGGCAGAAGGAGCCTTCTCGGAGGGCTTCCAAAGCCGTCAGGAGAGCTGACTCTGAGTCCGCCGTCACCGGGCCTCCAAGGAGCTGCTCTTTTGTTTGTTTTTAACAAAGGAAGCTATAGAAGCAGGGGTTTTCCCGCAGGACAGAAAGCCTCCACTCCAGCCACAGGCTTCAAGCCAGCCACCTCTGCCGGAAGACCATTCACCTGATGCGGCTGTGACTTCAGGGCTCATGGGGATGCCTGAGTTCGCGGTGCCCGAATCCCACCCAGGACCCTGGCGGAAAGGAAGCCTGGGCCATGTGGTTTTTTAATCTTCATGAT